AGGTGTCTATTTACTTGTGACCACTCAGTGTATATGTGTGCGACTGACGGATATTTCCGTCATTCGCAGCTGAGCCATAGAACTTCAATGACGGAAATATCCGTCATCTGCAGTTAATGGGTTAATATAACTAGATATCTTCTTGTAGAGCAATTAAAGGTTTTATATTACTAGAATACTAAATAACAATATATAATATAATATTAATATAACTAGATATCTTCTCTTGTAGAGAAATTATAGATTTTATGTCACTAGAATACTAAACAATATCTAATAAAATATTAATCAACTAGATATCTTCTTGTAGAGCAGTTAAAGGTTTTATATTACTAAACTACGAAATTACAAATAATAAGGCCCTCAAGTAGTTTCGCTGTAAGTCTGAGGGCTCACACTCCTAAAAACCAGGTTTTGATACTTGTGGTGGGCACAGTACAGATAGTCCATTTTGTACTTTTGTGCTTAATGCTTTCAGCACAAGCTTGATCCCTGGGACTGACCTAGTAACTATTGTGTGCTTGTTATAGTTTTCATGGCATAATTTTTAAGTTAGTAAGCATACTTTAATGAAATTTGGCAGATTATCAGTAAACATTACAATGCTTTCATATGCAAAATATCAATTTTTTTTATTAAGTCTTGTAAAGCAATGTTTTACTCATGCCTTTTTTTTTCTTTTCGCATGTTGCTTATCCAACATGCAAAGTAATTTTCATTTTAAAACTATAAATACTTCTATCGTAAGAAAATTTTCAAATTTCACATGATTCTTTATAATCTCTAGATAGTTATCAAACATTTCTTAGGAAAAATACTCTATATTTTATCTCTTATTTTCATTAACGAATCTCTGCAAGGGTTTGGTAGATTTGTAACCACCATAAAAATTAGGAAATAAGTATAAATTATGTACCTTTCGTTCTAGAATGACTACAGATTATAACATGAAAACATAAATGTTTAGACTAATTAGCTTAAACTTCACAACATTAGACATTTTTATATACTTATTATTTTTACTATATAGACCTTTCAGCCATGCCTGGCTAACAATACAGAAGTTACAATGATGCAGCACACGTGCTCTCATGTTACCGTATCCAGTAATATAAAACTGATCTTTAGTCTTTACAAAGTGACCTGTCTTGGCTATGTTTTAGCAGACTAGTATTTTGTAAAATACAGTCACAGTTTCATTATTATATATGTATATAGATTATTACTATTTAGAAATAAGTTCTTAAACATATTTTTCTTAAAA